CACTTGCTTTTCTGCACTCAGTTGGATTTTTTCCCATAGATTTTTCTGTTACTAGACTTCAGTATGGGAACACCGAGACTAACAGCCTTATTTGGTTAATAAAATAATACTGACCAAACACCCAGAGTGTACCAGGCATCATGGCAGACGTGGGATATAAACCCACCTAAGGTATAAGTTCTTCAAAATAAAACAGAAGAGAGCTTTATAAAGGTAGCAATTAATGTGCAAGACAGAAAACGTGTCATTTTTGATCAAGATGTTCCTCCATCTGCAGCTTTGATACCAATGATCTGAGCTCTCTCTTCTTCAAACTTCTAACCACAAAAGACCTCTAGTCACACCATCTCTGGAGAAGGATCTTCCCCAGCAGCTCAGTCTCTGGACGGCCTCTCTTTATGGCAAGGGCCATCCACAAAGATAATCATTCCAGGTGTTGCTTTTATGACTTGTTTCCAAGTGAGAAGGAACATTCCACGACGGCACTCTGTGTTCCCTGTCCTGCAGAAAGAACTTATCTGTTTGGTCTGCATTGGGAGAGCACATCCATTCAGATGCTGCAACACAATCATTCTTATGAACATAAAATTATCAGCGAAGCCAAACCCTACATATTGGAAGCCCCAAGGACAATTAGATGAATTATCAAAGCAATAAGCATACTAGATTACACAAGTTCAGTCCTCTGTAAAGAACACTGTCATGTTTAATAAAACTGCAGTGGACATACCTTGACTGACAATAGCTACCGAAGTAGAAGAGAGCTTTATAAAGGTAGCAATTAATGTGCAAGACAGAAAACGTGTCATTTTTGATCAAGATGTTCCTCCATCTGCAGCTTTGATACCAATGATCTGAGCTCTCTCTTCTTCAAACTTCTAACCACAAAAGACCTCTAGTCACACCATCTCTGGAGAAGGATCTTCCCCAGCAGCTCAGTCTCTGGACGGCCTCTCTTTATGGCAAGGGCCATCCACAAAGATAATCATTCCAGGTGTTGCTTTTATGACTTGTTTCCAAGTGAGAAGGAACATTCCACGACGGCACTCTGTGTTCCCTGTCCTGCAGAAAGAACTTATCTGTTTGGTCTGCATTGGGAGAGCACATCCATTCAGATGCTGCAACACAATCATTCTTATGAACATAAAATTATCAGCGAAGCCAAACCCTACATATTGGAAGCCCCAAGGACAATTAGATGAATTATCAAAGCAATAAGCATACTAGATTACACAAGTTCAGTCCTCTGTAAAGAACACTGTCATGTTTAATAAAACTGCAGTGGACATACCTTGACTGACAACAGCTACCGAAGGCAGCCTGTGACTTAACCACAGGACACAAGATCAACACTTTAACTTTTATCCACAAACTGATCTCTCACTGATAGCCATTTTTATGAACTACCTTTCTGGACTCAAAACATCTGAACCCCTTAAAACAAAAGGTCCCAAACGTCTTGAAGGGTCTTCCCAAGGCAAGTTTATGGCAATGAGATCCTGAAAATACTTCTCATGTATGGTGGGAATCTAATGGACCACCAATTTTTCATTTAAATTAGCTTTAAAAAAAGTGACCACAGACATGTTTCCCTATAAAGTAGATATTATGACTCACTTGCTTCTAATCAACAAACATTAGCAAACCGTGCTGTATTTCAGGAATGAATGAGTTAGGATGGGTTATAAAGAAAAGAAGGAAGAAAAAGGAAATTGAATGAAAATGATATTTTAGAAGGAGAAGAGTAAGAGTTAAAGTTAAGAGGAAGTAGGTTCTGTGTCATCCTGGGCTCTATGTATAAGAAAACAGTGGCTTCCCACTAAATGTAAAACAGATGTCCAAAGAGTTGCCCATTTTACATGATCTGATCTCACCTCCCTCCTCTCTCATGTGCTCCTGATGTTCCAGCCACACTGGCTTTATTTCTGTTCTGCAGACAAGCCAACATCATTCCCATCATGATGTTCACAAGTGATGGTCCTTTCATTTGCAAAACTCAACTCTAGATCTGGAGATGACTACCTGCTCTTTTATTATCATCCAGTTCTCTTTCCAGATGCAAGGTCCTCGGTGTGTTAGCCAAAGCCACCCCCCCCCATGTCCTGTACACAGCAGTATCCAAACTCTTTCATTCATTCATTCATCTGTTTATGCATCACCCATCTGGTTCTCCCATTCTGTTTTAAGCTTCATGAGGACAAGGGCTCGATCTTATTCCAAAATGTCTCCTTGGCAGGCAGAGTAAGGTCTGACACCTAACAGGCACTTAATAACTATTTGCCTACTGACTATAACAGCACGAAAGTGTGTGCTTTTTACAAAGTGATAAGAACAGTCTGTTCAGAAAGGTCTTTAAAAAGAGCAATTTATCACTGAAGAGCCCCAAGGTCCTGGAAGACAGTTCTCTTGTGCATTTCAGGTGCCTGAAGCCTTTGTCCTGTCACTGTTGGATTCACTGACTATCCCAAGCTGCCAATTATACATAGTGCAGGACACAGGCCCCAAGGTTGGAGCAGGGTGTCACAGAGCATCAGAAGCCTGGGGTCTAAGAATAATGAGATCCCAGACCTGAAGTGTTGCTGTATTCTCCTCTGTAAAATGAGCTAGCATAATTAACTGCAGGACTCCAGGCTCTAATGTAAGTGAGACATTTGGGAACTCCATGATCCTGGGCGAGGAAGGGGTGCCGTGCCGATGAAAACTGATGAAGATTTGAGATCTGTCCTGAGGTCTTGAGCAGGAAGGTTCTGTAAGCATGGAAGTCAGACTTTCCGCAGAGCCAAATAAGAGTGCCCCTCTAATAATGGTTAGGAAATGCCCCTGATTTCCTCTGTTTTCTTTTAAAAGCCTAACCTTTAGAATGTGACTAGTGCACACAGGCAACTATTATGCATCCTCTTCGCAGTTGGTGGTCAGTATACACTAGTGCAATACACAGAGGTGCAGTCCCTCGTCTGCAGCCCAGCCTCACAGCTGGACCGCACATCCTGCAGCAGGCATGTCATTGCTAGGACGTGTGCTCAAGTCCTATGCTTATTATCCTGCACACAGCCACCATGGAGAGACATGAGCTTAGGATCGAGCTCCAGAAAAACCAGTGGGATGGAGAAAGGCCTTTTACATATGATAAGGCATGGGAGAATGGAGGCCAGTGTCAGACGGGGAGGAACCTGGTGTGAGTCTGACAAATCTAGAGTCAGAGAGGAAAGCTCAGGAAGAATGTACCCTTGGGGTTTGTTGTCAGGAGGGAAGGGGGAAGGTATGAGGCGCAAGCCCTTTCCTGTTCCCCTCCTGACAGATCTCATGGGGCAGGAAAAGACCCCAGAGGGGCATTCAAAGGTGCCCACTATGGGGAACGGAGGTCAACACAAACGCAGCCACAGGACGTCTCCAATTCTGGCTCAAATATCATGGATAGCAGAGAATGGCGACCCTATAGGACAGAATGTGGTCACCTGGTTAATAAACACAACGCACAGAACTCAAAGGTCAAGTTTAAGTTTAGCAAAGCTCGCTGTGACAACACTGCATGGAGGGGAAAAATCCTTTTGTCAAATGTTTATGTAACACCAAACATAATGAGGAAAACAAAAGTGAGTTTCAATTCAAAATCCATGACGCATGGAAAGAGACGTTTACACAGGGAAGGTGATAAAAATATCCTCTCCCTGTTGACAGAAAACCTTCTGGGCACTATTATTATGTTGAGAAGCTCTCCAAATGTAAATGTGCCCCCAAAGTGTGTGTCTAAGCCAATTCAGATGGAAGCCCTGCTTCTGCTACTAATTTAAACAGGTTCTGGTTATCATGTCTGTGCCTTGGTGCAAAGCAATATTTATTCAGAATAAAATAGGCCTGCACGTTAAAAGTATGAGAGAGGAAAGGTCAGTCAAAGTGGCAGAAAAAACATTATGAAAGCTCCTCCAAACTAGCTTTTTGGGGTGACTGGGCTGAGGAAGACTTAAGAAAATCCTCTCATTAACTTTTTAAGGCTATGGATGGCAGGGAATGTGGGGGAAGAATGGATATCTGCATATGTATGGCTGAGTTCCTTCACTGTCCACAATCACAACACGGTTCATTGGCTATACCTCAAAAGAAAATAAAAAGTTCACTAAAGAAAATCTTAAAGGCTGTACAACCTTCCACAACAGACTCCCCCCCAAAATAAGGTTCCATTATTTTAATGAGAGGGCGGGGAACACTGCCCTACCGCGCCTCCTACATGTCTAGTCTCATAGCTCTGACAGGCTCAGCAGAGAACACAGCCAGAGAGGGTGGCGGAAGGCTTGACAAGGCAGTCCTATATGCTACCACAAGGGTCAGCACATTTTTTACTCTAAAGAGCTAGAGAGGGAGTATTCTGGAATTTGCAGACCAAGGATATTGTAGCTACTTATGTAAGAATTTTCACCATTTTTTACTATCAAAATTGTAAACTTTATGGACACTGAAATTTTAATTTCACTAGCTTTTGTTTCACATGTTCCAAATATTCTTCTTTTCATTTTTTTAAACCATCTACGAACCTAAAATCCAATATTAGCATGCTGGAAAAAATCAGGCCGAGAGCAGGATTCACCTGAGGGCCGCAGTCTGCAGACCCCTCCTCTCGAGGGCAAAGAGATTGTGGGGCAGAAACAAGCCATCAGATCAAGAAGATCTGGGACTGGGACCTTCCAAGTTTCTTTAAAACACCATGAATATCGCTGCCCTGAAACATCCCCAATTCCCCTTGCTTATAACAAAATCAGATTCTTTGCCTCATCCGCTAGGTTATGTCCACATCCTAGATTTTAATTTAAACAGCAGCCACAGTGGTTGCCCTGGTCGTATACAGCACACGCGGAGACGAGAGCGGAACGGGAAGCGCCTGGCTCGGTCTCCATTCCCGTGAGGGTCGATGGCAGTGGGAAGGCACCTGATGGGAGCTGCGTGCTCTAGAGAGGCCAGGGGCCACCAGCCGCCTCGAGTAATGCTCTCCTGTTCTTATCTTGTAGGCTTTCATATCGGACTGGGCAAGACACAGCTAACTGTGACACATGCAGGAACAGTGCATGTATTATCTATAGGTATGTCAACGCTCTCCTCTTCCCGCTTTGTTATTATGAGTGGCAAATGATGCTTACCCACGGATGCGAGAAACGTCTGGGGCCCCGCTGGGATGATGACATCAGACAAAAAACAGCCAAGAGCCTTTCCTGACCTCTACTCTAGGCAGCTTCTAAATAAGCAACCTCAGGCAGAGAGTCATGGGGTGAGGGAGAACATGAACCCATGTATCTTGCAAATGCATCTTAGCGGCGTTTCTGAAATTGGTGTAAGTTTGATGGCTTGTTCCCTCAGAATCGATAGTCGTGAATACTGTACTGTGTGTCCCGGCATGGCTGTGAAATATAAGCCCTTCAGACGGTATAGATCAAAGGCTGCAAGCCACACTGTATGTGCTAGGAGAACCACAGAAAACCCGGTGTGCAGTTTGTTTCCTGCGAAGGCACCAGGGCTGTGGCACTTGGGTTCCTTGGGAAATAATCCCGTCTAGGGCTTCTCTGCAGCTCAGCTGGTAAAGAATCTGTCTGCAATGTGGGAGACCCTGGTTTGATTCCTGGGTTGGGAAGATCCCCTGGAGGTGGGCGTGGCAACCCACTCCAGTATTCTTGCCTGGAGAACCCCCATGGACAGAGGAGCCTGGTGGGCTACAGTCCAAGGGGTCGCAAAGAGTCGGACAGGACTGACGGACTGACCACAGGGCTGTGTGTCTGGTCTCACCGTTTCTCAGTCCTAAGTATATTTAGATTATTCACAGTGACAAGAATTCAGCAGGAGCTTTCAACAAGCAAAAACCATGTTAGGCTTTTGGCAATAATTTGGGATTTTAAGATGCAATCATGACCTTCCGAGAGCTTACTACGGGGTTTGTTTTTTTTTTTTTTTTTTGGAAATGTAATTTTCATAAGCAAAATATGAGAGCAATAAGAGATGTTATGATTTTGTTCATTTTTTAAAAATTAACCCTGAAGAACAATTTTAGTTGATTTGCCAAATTATCAAGAATAAAAAGAAGCTGTATAGTTATATCTCTAAGAATGTGTAAAGGAACCCCTGCTGCTGCTGCTGCTAAGTCGCTTCAGTCGTGTCTGACTCTGTGCGACCCCATAGACGGCAGCCCACCAGGCTCCCCCGTCTCTGGGATTCTCCAGGCAAGAGCACTGGAGTGGGTTGCAGTTTCCTTCTCCAATGCATGAAAGTAAAAAGTAAAAGTGAAGTCGCTCAGTCGTGCCCGACTCTTAGCGACCCCATGGACTGCAGCCTACCAGGCTCCTCCGTCCAGGGGATTTTCCAGGCAAGAGTACTGGAGTGGGGTGCCATTGCCTTCTCCGAAAGGAACCCCAATCTCAACAAAAAAACAGAAACCCTTCTAAAGAGATCTTCACAGTGACCACCCTCTTATCAAGTAAGCAGAGACAGGGAAAAGGCATAAATGTCTTAATAATAGCAGAAAGCTCACGTCCACCCAGTTGTGGCACCACCGAGTCTCCAGTCCAGACAAGCGCATCCCAGATGGGGCCCCAGGCTCTTTCCATGTCGAGCTGGATCACCTGGTGACTGCTGTGGTTGTGGCAGAAGAAACCACAGGGCAGACAGGAGCTCCGGCAACACTGTAGAGGTTCTCAACCCAGGGAGATTTTGCCTCTCAGAGGGCTTTTGGGAAGGATGGAGGGAGATGCTTTCAGCTGCCACAACTGGGAAATGCTACCACATCAACTAGCTAGAGGTCAGGGCTTGGTGACATCCCTGTAACACATGGCAGCCCCCACGACAAGGAGCCAGCCCACCCAGAATGTCAACTGTGCCACGCCTGAGAAAGCCTGCCTTGCAGGAACCACGGCCTGGTTACAGTCTGGCAAAAGGCACACACTACCTGCTAAGGCCTTGGGGCCCCCTGCAGGGAGCCGGGCCCCCGGCAGCAGCCCTGGCCCAGCCTCTCAGATGCCTGATGGCTCCCCACCATGAACAAGCAGGTGAAAATGAAGCCCCCACGCAGGAGAAGTCAAGCACTCTGAATATAAGCCTGCGGAGAAGTTTGGTTGTTGGGAATCTTTTCACTGCATTCATATCATAGGAGAGAACTTTTGAGTCCAACAGTGAAGGGATGTAAGGGACATAAAATGAAACGCCTTCACTCAGCCAGTCAATTAGGCAAAGAAACGAAGAATCGAGAGCCCCTGGCAGAAATATCCTCACCGGTTAGCTTTTGCCGCTCGGGAGCTGAGACGCCTCCAGTCTCCACGCAACAGAGCAGAAGTGAACACAGATTTGGAAAGTGGGCTTGATGACATAAACCCATTGAACATGTTGTGGGTGATTGAAAGAAGAATGTATCTGGACACTCTTCAGTGTGACTGAGGTAATTTAGATAAATTTAGCTATCTATCCAGAAGTAACTTACATTTTTTTTTTAAAGTGATATTAAAAATGACTCAACAATCAAGGGCAGGAATTAGCCTTGAGGAGTAACTGTTTGGATGTGGCTCACCCAGCAAGCTGTATGAACCCCAGTATGCAGGCCAATGACAAATTTTTCCTAAGAACTGGGAGTTCCAGGACCACAAGAATCTGACAAAATTTAGTAAGGCTCACTCACCCGGTCGAGGGGTCGCTATCACTCGGCTCATCCCCTGCACGCTGGGGAGACATGTACTACTCACAGAGGCCTCATCATCAAAGACGCGATGGTAGAAGGCGGTCTGCAGCCTCAGGAATGGGGCAGGGTGGGAGCCCACGCCAGCCACGCCACCCACCCATCAGCTCCCTAAGCATCCCAGGAGAGATGGGACTAGAGAAAAACTGGACGTTTAGCTCTCTCTGTGGGGAAAGTATTTTAAAATGCCCCGTTAGCACGTGTGCACGCATGCTCAGTTGCTCAGTTGTGTCTGACTCTCCGGGACCCCATGGACAGTAGACCGTCCAGCTCCCCTGTCCATGGAATTCTCCAGGCAAGGATACTAGAGTGGGCTGTCGTTTCCTACTCCAGGGAATCTTCCCGACCCAGAAACTGAACCCGCGTCTCTTGAGTCTCCAGCACTGGCAGGCAGATTCTTTACCACTGAGCCAGCAGTGAGGCCCAACAGAGTGATCAGCAAAAACAAAATTTCCCAACACCCAAACTTCTGCTGCAAAGGGAAGTTACTCTGAAGGCTGGTAACATTTCAGCTGGACTCCCACTGCCCCACAAAAGCAGTCTTCCTGCTGCAAATTCAAACAGGCATCTCCATATTATTACTAAGTTGGACACAGATACTCATCAAACTGTTTCCCAATTTTCCTATCACATTATAGAGGATATAACTTAAAATTATAACCCTAAAATTGAACAGTTACTCTCGACATGGGTTATTGATATCAGCAAGAGTCTTCTGAGCACTAGAGATGATAAGAGGAGAAAGCTCACTTCTGGTCCACTAATTGGAACACCCGTCAAAAAGGAAATCATAAGCATGTTGTTTGAATTTGAATCATAAAAATTGGGGTCTCAGATTTAAAGTTATGTCAGTCTTTTGAGGTGAGGACCAGATGTCTTCTGTGCCTGTGGTCACCCCAGCTAGACTTCCATCACCCCAGCTAGACTTCCATCACCTCGGCTAGACTTCCGAGGTATCCGCCATGAACCACACCCGCTTCCCTGCAGTGGAACGCGGTCTTGAGACAGCATCTGAGTTCAGGAGCCTTCTGGATGTCGATCCGCCCCTCCGTTTGTCACACTCAGTACTTTGTAGCAGCCTCCTCTTTCCGGAGCATCTCACCCACAGAAATAATTCCCTCTTGCCTCCAGTGTATTTCAATGGTTTATGTAACACTCAGATAAATCACATCATTTCGATGGTGAGAACAAACAGCATACGCAGATCCAAGCCCAGCATCCTCTTGGTGAGCGCACAGCTGGAGAAGTGGGGACAGAGGGTCGGGGATCAAAGACAGAGAAGCCTCTTTGCCAGGAGCATCCAGCCCCAGGTGGGCGGTGACACTGTCCCGGGAGGCAGAGTGGTGGCGGCTCATCCAGTTCTTGTATTGCCATAGAGCACCAAAGACAGATACAAGAGTGGTAACCAGCAGCTGCTGACACACCCAGATAGATAGGAACCTTCCCTCACGGTTCTCTTTTGCCAAAAAAAGCATGGCGATTGTGGAACAAGGGGGGATTCAGCCAGATGATATCCTCGTATTCATCAGTCCTGTGACTCAATCCTCAAATGTCAAGTGCTTCCTGAAGAATAGAGGTTTCTTTGACAGAAAGGCATCCAGAACTCAATGGGGCAGAAGGACTCACCTGCCCAGGTGACCTTGCTGCACTGCAGTTGGGCAGGCAAACATCTCAGAGGTGAGCCAGAGGAAGTGTCCAGGTTGCAAAGGCTTTAAGAAAGAAGTGCCTCTTTTCTCATGGAAGAAACTGCATCGGCCCCTCCATCAATTCCGGCAAGTACCTCTGTAGAGACAAGGTCATCGGGAGGGGGCAGATTCCAGCTCAGAGTCTCTGCATTTGGCTCCATGCCTGGCTCCGGCTGCCAGGTCCTCAGCTTCCAGGGCCTGCACCCTAGGCTTCAGGAATGCTCTAGGAGCCCCCAGACCACCATCTGTGCTGCTCTTCTGGGTCCTTCCCATAGGATGCCTGCAGCATCTCCGGGCTGGATAGGTGAAAGGAGCTTCAAAATGAAGACCTCCTCAAACGCCAGAGCCTGTGGTTGTCCCAGAGCCCGGGTGAACACGAGGGCCCTCACAGCTGCCAGTCTCTCCGTGGTGCAATTTGTCACACCTGCGTGCTGGCAGGCCCAGAGCCCTGGAGGTCAATGAATTTGACCCCGCCTGTCTTGCATTTACACATTGCTTTTCACCCGAAAACCAATTACTCTCTCCGAGCCATGTAAGAATCCACTGTGTTGCCAGTAACACTTGGCCCAGAGACACGCAAAGGGGGTCGTGTCCAAGACGCGGCCGCCTGCCTGCATATTCAGCAACACAGCCCTTGAATAAATGCGTGCCTCTGCCAGGGATACGTGTTTCTCTGTAAAACAGC